TGAGAGGATTGCCTGAGCCCATGGGTTCGAGACCAGCCTGGGCAACTTGGTGAGACCTTACCTCTACAGTAAATAAAAAATTAGCTGGGCATGGTGGCGCATGCCTGTGGTTCCAGCTACTTGGAAGGTTGAGGTGAGCTTAGCAGGTCAAGACTGCGGTGACCATGAGCAAGCGTGCCACTGCACTCCAGCCTGGGTGACAGAGTGAGACCCCAACTCCAAAAAAAAAAAAAAAACAGTGGAATCACACCAGGTTAGAGGAATCCCTGCACACATAGCCTTAGCACGAGACAGTATTTATATTTGTTTGTCTGGAGTTGCAGCAGGTTAAATTGAAGGTGAAAAATAAATATAAAATTAAATTTAAAAAGAAAAATAATAGTTTATAATAGTTCAACCCTGCAGTTTTGAACCTGAAAATATAAATAAAATTTAAGTTCTTCACTAAAGTTTTTGGAAGAAAAGCAAATGTTTCTTGGTGAAAATAAAGCTATTTAAAATAGATTATTTAGTCTAGTGAGGCACATTTAGTCTTCGAAATGTATTTATAATTGAAATTGTGTTCGTTGTTTTCCTTTAAAGATAGTTTTTAACTTTATATTTTTAGCAATGTTGAGGATGACAGAAGACCACGTACTTCCTGAGCTGAATAAGGTAGTATGTAGTAGTATATTTCTATAACATGTTGATATTGTCCTGGTTGGGCTCAGCTTTGCTGGTCATCTTGGTACTCTTATTCAGAAAGTTATTAGTTAACAGGGTTTCAGTCTGTAGACAGCAGACAGAGCCCTAAGCCATTTTTTAAGAAGAAAGGTGCCTGTTTTGTATATTTTTTTATCTCATAGAATACCTTTATTATGACTGTCTAATAATTTTCACTTTTGAAAACGGTTTTATCATCTATGTAAGGTAGCGTCCTTGTATTCCTTACCTGGATGTCCTTAAATCTTAAACACATTTTTATTTTCCTTGGAAATCAGGTACTTCAATATTAGTCCCTCTGGTAACGTCTGGTGAACGACAGTTTCTAACTGTTAAGATATTTTGGCAAGTGACAGTGGAACCTCTTTCTGGGGAGACCTTACAGAAGAGGGCAGAATCCCATTTGGTTCCCATGGCTCACTGCCCTTCACCCATGCCCCTGCCTGAGTTGTCTGCTCTGATGGGTTAGGTCATTTTGAGCCTGCAACAGTGGTGAGGATTAAGTTAGCCTGGGTGGACTGATGAGTAAGGGATCCTCCACTCTCAGCTCTTAATGTAACTCAGTGAATCTTTTGCACAATAGGTAACTGGCCTTGCAAGCCAGGCAAGTTTTGTGGTGATTCTTTTTCTGACGTTGTTGTCTTCTGTGTTTTGGGAGATAAAACCTGTGAATTGCTGTTAGGGACCTTCATGGCTGAAGAATGAGAGTGGGATGAAGGCGGGGTCATTGCAGGAAGCAGGGGCAACACTGAAGCAAATAGTGCTGTGTACTTGCAGCCCTGAAGTCAGAGTGAGGCTGCTTTTGTGGGGTTACAGTTCCCCTTCCCAAAGGAGGGACCCATTTTCCATTACATTCTTCTCAGAGCCCTGGGAGTTCATAATCTGTGAACACAGTTGCATAATCTATATTTCTTTGAAGGAACTCGTGCCTATTTTTCCATGGCTTTTAGTAGATAATAAAAGGTAACATTTATTATTACACAATTACTTATTTTATTGGGAAGCTTTTTAATCTTAATTTGTTTTCTTTCTGTTCTTTTTGTTTTTGGTAGATGACTCAGAAAGATATTACATTTGTTGCTGAGTTTCTTACTGAACATTTCAATGAGGTAAGCAATTGGTATTTCTGTAATGCAAGTTTTAAAAAAATAATTACAGTAAACCTGGGTAATGATAAGAAGTAATTAAATTTAATCCAATTCAATTGAAGTCCTTAGCAATTATTTTTTTAAAAAAAGAAGTTGAGGCCGGGTGCAGTGGCTCAAGGCTGTAATCCCAGCATTTTGGGAGGCCGAGGCGAGTGGGTTGCCTGAGCCCGTGGGTTTGAGAACAGTCTGGGCAGATGGTGAGACCTCATCTCTATAATAAAAATCAAAAAATTAGCCAGGCGTGGTAGCCGCACCTGTAGTTCTGGCTACTTGGAAGGATGAGGCAGAGGGATCGCTGGAGCCCAGTGGGTCAATGCTGGGGTGGCCGTGGGCGTTGCCACTGTACTCCAGCCTGGGCAACGGAGTGAAACTCCAACTGAAAAAAAAAAAAAGTTGAACTAATTAATGGTAGTACTTATTTATCAAACATAAAGTCTCTAGATTGAACTTTTGTTTTTGTGTGTCTTATAGTCTATAAAAGAAAAGAGTAACTGCTACTAATAGCTCTCTTCAAAAATAATTTTTATTTTAAATTTAAGATTTTTTTTTCTTTTGAGAGTTAAAAAATAAACTATGTTCATTTTTTCTAGGCTCCGGACCTTTATAACCGAAAAGGAAAGTACTTTAATGTTGAAAAAGTTGGTCAGGTATGGGCTTTGGATTGAATTTGGATTGTTATTATTCTTTTTTGTTCTTTAAGAACTAATTTTAAAACCCTAACAGTGTTAATTTTTATTATCCAAAGTCTGTGGCAAGTAATATAGTACAAATTATGTAGCAGCCCTGCCCTTTTAATAAAATAACCAAAGAGCAGCAGTTTTTAAACTTTTGATCTCAGAATCCTTTTACATTCTTAAAAAATTTATTGAAAACCCTAAAAGATCTTTTGTTTATGTGAGTTATCTATCACTGATAGATACTACTAGGTATTAAAAATTAGACAATATAAAAATGATTTCTTAATTCATTTAAAAATAGCAGTAAACCCACTCACCAATACATGTTAATATGGTTTTTTTGGAAAATGATGGTATTTTACAAAACAAAAAAATTTTTGTGGAGAATGTGTTTTATATTCTTGCAAATCTGTTTTATGTCCAGCTTTAATAGAAGACAGGTAGAGTCTCATATCTGCTTCTGCATTCAGTCTGTGTTGATATGTTGTTTTTGTTAATATATATAAAGAGCTGGCCTCACATGGATGCATAGTTGGAAAGGGAGAAATAATATAAAAGCTCTTTCAAGTAACTGTGGTTCTTTGATTCTATACCGAATCCTGCCAAGTGATAATATCTTATAGGTTAGTTTCAGTGTGGAATCTAAAATTGCATCACTGAACTTTTCATACTCGATTACATTAAGGCCCATTCATCTGTCTTGGACTTTAAATGAATCTTCTGTTCATGCATGATTTTTTTGTAACATCACATGTTGATCCTTTTGGAAATAGTGGTTTCCTCAGGTATGCAGCTCTTCTGAATGCCGCCACCTTTCACTGGACAGTAACCAATCCAGATTTTATTAATAGTACTGCTAATCACATGAGAAAAGTCTGTGAGTGTTGTGATGCTGGCAGGCACACAGTGGCAATAGCAGGTTTTCCAAAATTTTCATTTTAGCTTTAAAATTTTATAATTGACAATAAATACTATCCGTTGTTTTGCTCAGAGTGACGGGGTTACTTTATTTGTGTTTGAGAAAATATTTTCCAGATACTCAAGTATGAATAATTATAGTTTGTCCACCAGTTATTCTTTCAAATAAAAAGGTTGCTGGCTTCAGTCACAGCTAAAACAGTCTCAGGAGCTTTTTCTTTGAGATAACCATCATACTTTAGTGTAGAGCAGAAATGGTTATGCATACCCCTCAATTCTGTCTCACACAATATTAAAGATTTGTATTAAAAGGTTGAAATGAAATAAAATTAATAATAGCTTCATTAAAGGTAAATGGAACTATGAGTATGTGGCAAAAAATGTAAAGTGACTGCTGATATGATTTGGGACCACTACCTTGACTGTCAACGAAGGTATAAGTAGTTTTCCCCACTCCCGGTGCAAATGTCTCACAGTGACAAGGTCAGTAACATCTTGGCATTACTGCAGGGCTAGTGTTGACCTTGTGGCTTCCTGAAAACACCTTGGGGATTCCCAGGGCTCTGTGAACCTCACTTGGAGAATAGAGTATGTTGACAGTTGATGCTTGTCAAACTAATTTGTAACTTACACTTGTCAAGTTAAAATATGCTCATGATCATGAAATGAAATTTAAACTCAATTTATAGTCTCTATACCTACAACACTGTAGTTTTTAGTAGTTTGCAGTTTATATAGTTGCTTGGCATGTAGCAAATTTTGGTCACTCAGTTAAAAGTAATTTACTTTCAGAGAACTTGGCCATAAAACAAAACTTGTTAAGTAGAAAAATGTTAAATATAAACAGCCTTCAGAGCCTAATTCTTTGAATTACTAAATTTAAATCTTTAAATCTGCATTTCTAGTACTTAAAAGATGAAGATGATGATCTTGTGTCACCCCCTAACACAGAAGGAAACCAGTGGTATGACTTTCTTCAGAACAGCAGCCACCTTAAAGGTACTGTAGGAACCAAGTAGACTTGAGTCATGTTTATTTTATTTGAGACTAGATCTTAAGTAAGTCAGCTAATAGCTTGCTGAACACTCGCTGAGTACTTATCAAGTTCATTAGATGTATTTTTTGTGTCCATGTTATTTGATTAGAAAACAGCAAATAACCAATAGTATATGACATTACCGTGGAAAATAGAGAACACTCTGAAATGAACTGTGTATAGTAAGATTGCTTCTTTTTATATCATCTATTTTGCACCCTATGAAAAGTAGGATTTTTTTTTTTTTTAATAGAGTGTTTTGCTCTTTTGCCCAGGCTTTAGAATCAGACTTGGATTTGATTCATAGACCTAGATTCTTAGTCATTTTCACACTGGGCAGTTACCTAAACCTGCCAAACATTATTTTTCTTTTTTCATCTGTAAATTGGAGAAAATGATACTTAATCGGTGCAACTGTGGTAAGCAGTAGAAATAACAGGTATTTAAAAGATGTAGGATAGTAGGTGTTAGGTAATGCTAAATTTTTTCTTAATCCAGCCATTTGTATGCTGAAAATGCTAACTTATGTTTTACTTTCTTCTGATAAAGTAGCCTTTTAAAAAGTAAAGAGCTTATTTACATAGAGCTAGTTTCTAGTCCCTTTTTTAGACTCTTACAGAACACTACTGAACTGCTGTTATCATTACATTGTTGCCAAGAATAGGGAAGAATGAACTTTATTTCTTGACATAGCTGTGGTTCCCAGATCACTTCTTATAGCCAACAAACACAGTTGGATTTGGGTGGAACTAAGCTTTTTACGCAGTGGGATCGTTTTTAACGGGCTGTCAGTGGGAGATGAGGCAAGGCAGAGGCCATGGTCATTGTAATACGGTAGTGTGAAAGTGTAACGCAGCAGCCAGTGAGAATTCCTCCATGAGACGACTGAACAAACTGGTTCTAACAGATTGTTTTCTCCTAATCATCGGTTTGTCATAACTTTTTTTGTTTTTGTTTTTGTTTTTGTTTGAAACCAGAAAGTCCTTTGCTGTTTCCTTACTATCCTCGAAAATCATTGCATTTTGTGAAAAGGCGGATGGAGAACATTATTGATCAGTGTTTACAAAAGCCAGCAGTAAGTTTGAAGGAAATACATGTTATGTGTATAGGAGCAATAATATCTAAAGTGTGTGGTTTACTCATGTAAATGATCTTAGTTATTAGGATGAACTATATGGAAATGTTGATACTCAGCTGTTGTTGACTAACAAAAATGGCAGGGTCATATGAGTCAGCTTGTACTGTATCTTGTTAGTGTCTTACATATATTTTTTTATTTTTATTTCTTATTTCTTTGAGTTGGAGTCTCACTCTGTTGCCCAGGCACTCATGGCCACTGCAGCCTTGACCTGCTGGGCTCAGGTGATCCTTCCACCTCAGCTTTCTAAGTAGCTGGAACTACAGACACGTGCCACCATGCTTGGCTAATTTTTTTTTTTTTTTTTAGAGATGAAGTCTCGCCAAGTTGCTCCAGCTGTTCTCAAACTCATGGGCTCAGGCAGTTCTCTCACCTTTGCCTCCCAAAGTGCTGGGATTATAGGCATGAGCCACAGTGCCCAGCTCACACATTTTTTTATTTCCTGAAATAAGTGTTTTCTTGTCCCCAGTACAAATTAATTATAAACAGTCTTAGAAATAAACTGTTTATAATGTGTCTCATGTTTGGCTGAAGAATGCCCAGGAATGGTTGTTGTGATACTACAGGGAGGTGGTCTTGAACCTGCCATGTGCTTACACCAGGTCCTTTTCAGCTCTGAATTTTCTCTCTTCCTTATTGTCATCACTATTATTAAAGTTTCTTATGAGCAGAATTTGGTGATAAGAGATGATTTTTTTTCACTGCACTTGAACAGTGATGGTCAGTCACTTTCTGTAGAGTATCTGTGTACATATAAATGCTCTAATTTTGTTTTACATCTTATTTTAGGATGTAATTGGAAAATCGATGAATCAAGCAATCTGTATTCCGTTATATAGAGATACTCGAAGGTAATTCTGTTTACCTATTGGATGGGATAATTCAGCAGCCAACTTACATCTTTCTCACTTTTATTTCCCTTTTGTTTCAGTGAGGATTCTACACGTAGATTGTTCAAATTTCCTTTTCTGTAAGTGTGTGCTTCTTCCCTGTCTTGTGTGAACAATCCAAGTTTGTTCTGTGCATTAATAGTTAAATACCATGATGATATTTTTTTTTTCTTAGGTGGAATAATAAGACTTCAAATCTACATTATCTTCTTTTTACTATTTTAGAAGATTCGCTTTATAAAATGTGCATCTTAAGGAGACATACTGATATTTCCCAGTAAGTATAGTATAAATTTTGAATCAAAAGAGGTAAGAACATATCATTTTTAACAAGAAAGCATCCAGCTTCCCTTCCAACATTTTAGGTTTCAGTTGAGCTACATTGTGACTTTAGGTTTGTTATTTAATTGTCTTGCCTGAATTTTCATATCATTAAGGTGGTTAACACTGAGTTCAGTATATGATCCTTTCTATTCCGGATTACTTAATTTTGTATTGGTATGTGGTCATTGTATTTAAGGTTTTGAGGGGAGGGTAGGAAAAATATGACAGCCGAAAGCGCAGGATTATATTCTATCTCTTGAATTTCTGTAAGTTCAGAACTGTTTTAGTGGATATCTGGTAGAACGGATTTTTACCTTGGCTAAGGATGCCTTTTATTAAACACAAGGCCTTGCCTCAAAGAGAATTTGAAGTGAAAGTTTTAAAAGATAAATCTTATTTAGAATCCCATTCGTATCTTAAAAAATGGTTTTAAATCTGAATTGGAAGAGATTTAAAACCAAGGTGTAGCCAAAGGGACATAATTTTATTATTTTTATTCCAAATGTCCTTAATTGAGGTATCTAGCTACTTTGGTGACTCTAAAATTTTAAACCAAGTTAGTTTATCTATCTAGGAGTTTAAATTAGTTGTCAGTATTTTAAAGAAGAGTAATGGTATTTTGGTATGGGATCTGGTATTTAGGTAAATATACTAACACTGACAATCATGTTCTTTTAAGCATTTAGAATATTGGTTATCCAGGTTGTTCCACAAAGTGTCTCTTTTCCCCTTCTTTCTTCAAGATCTGTAAGTAATGGACTAATTGCTATTAAATTTGGAAGCTTTACATATGCCACAACTGAAAAAGTCAGAAGAAGGTAAGTCTTGAATTTTGTTGGGATGAAATGTACATACATGTTGTTTACGTATATGCTTAGTAAATGCAATTACAGAAATATGGCCAGACTCAATTATAATGATACAGGTAAAAGGGTGTTGTCACTTCCAACATAGAGGATAGAAGTCTTTGTGTATTCTGTACATAGGGAATGATTTGACTCATATTTGAATAGAAATTGACTGCTCTGTGAGAGTTTATGTAGTATGGTTCCCTGTCATTAATATTCTGAGCTGCCTGTCTACTAAGATGTGGTCCCAGGGGGCAGATGGCCTGCCAGGCTGAAGTTCTTGATACGATCAAAAAAGAAAAAAAGATGAGGCGATATCATTCTTACTGATCTGGAATTTTCTTAGTATTCAAAAGAGTAACAGTTTCTAAGCCATCCCTGAGGCTTTGCAGAGGAAAGAACTGACCCTGATCATAGGCTCATCTTTTTCTCTTTTTTCCTCTCATAAGTTTTTTTAACGATAGTCTTTGGAGTTGTTGTGTCTTTATGTATATCTTATTTTTTTACTTTTCAGTCTAGTTAACTCTGTTTGCCTGTGGATAAGGTGGAATTTCCACAAGCTTAAGGCCTAACCACTGATGTCAAGAGTTTTCTAGAACTGTGAACCAACTTCACAGACTTTTTCTCATGATTACTTCTTTTTAAGACCTAGTTATATTTGTGAATAATCAGGTACAAACGGTGACTCTGATTTTAGTACAAACTAATGGTGTGTTTTAAATGTTCCTGTCATTTAATTTTTAAATTAAATTCAATAAATTATTCTTTTTCTGCTTGGTGCCTCTTAATGTTATGAATACTGTATTTTCTCATTCATTGCGATCATCTTTGATATAACAAAGCTTACTTTAATTCTAGCATCTACAGTTGTTTAGATGCACAGTTTTATGATGATGAAACTGTGACAGTAGTTCTTAAAGACACTGTAGGACGTGAAGGAAGAGACAGACTCTTGGTCCAGCTGCCGTTGTCTTTAGTATACAACAGGGAAGATTCTGCAGAGTATCAATTCACTGGCACTTACTCTACAAGGTAAGTAACACATCAGTTAAGTCGTCTTTCTGATATTACAGTTAAGTGTTTTTTATAGACTCCAATATTTTAGGTATGCTAGATAGTGGTTATCTAGTTACTAGGGATAACCAAAGAGTTAGCAGAACTGAAAGACCCTTATTTTTCATTAAAAAAAAAAAGCTATCTTTTTTTTTTGAGTCAGGGTCTCACTCTGTTGCCTAAGCTGGAGAGTACAGTGGCACAATCATGGCTTACCACAGCCTCAGCCTCAGCCTCCTTAGTAGCTGAGACTGCAGGCGCATGCCACCATACCAAGTGAATTTTTTAATTTTTCTTTTTGTAGTGACAGGATCTTACTATGTTGCCCACACTGGTCTCGAACTCGGAGGCTCAAGCAATCCTCCCGCCTCAGCCTCCCAAACTGCTGGGATTACAGACATGAACCACCACTCCTGGCCATGCTGGCTTTAATAGCTCTTGTCCCTTTGCTTTACTAGTAAATCAAGAAGTATCTGTTGGAACAAGATAGGGAATTTTTTGAGTGGAGAATAGAACTTCTTTTACTTATATATTCAAATATAGCATTAACCCAGTTTATAGTAGAATTATTTTAGGTTTACTTTCTAGAATTAGGACTTCAGTACCCATGGGAAGTACACTGCCAATTTCATGTGATGGCTTTATTGCCTGAGACTTATGTAACCAGATCCCTTCTCTAGCTTGAAAATATATGCATTTGCTTTTCTTGAAAGGGAGTCAAAAACTTTACTAAGATGACATTCTGTTTGGAATTACAGTATTTTAATAGAATATTGTATCACAGCTTTGTAATGCAGCAGCTCCTAAAATTATATTGGAAACAGGAGTAGGAATAGAAGTTAAACCTGTAGCTGACCCTGACACCACCCGTCGTAAACCAGGGAGAAAGAGATGCCTTTTCATTCCTGAATTGCTGGTTTTTTTCCTCCCCTTAGGCTAGATGAACAATGTGGTGCTATTCCCACTCGCACTATGCATTTTGAGAAGCATTGGCGATTACTGGAAAGTATGAAAGCACAGTATGTTGCCGGGAATGGTTTTCGGAAAGTGTCCTGTGTGGTAAGTGTTTACAGATTGTTCAGTAGCTAAGAGAAATTGCAAGAAGTGACATTGCTTCTGTGGAGACTTCATCAAAAACATGCTACATAAGGGCCTTTTGTGCAAATATTTCATGGTGATGTATAAATATAAATTGTGATTTGTAGTTCTTATTGATTATGATCATGTTGTAGCCTTAGCTATTTAGTTCTCTTGGTCTGAGAATGCTGACTAAGCAGTTTATAATTCTAGATGAAATTACTACTGTTGTATCCAGAGATCCTTTTATACAAAATGAAGACTGAGTTTAGTGATTTTGTTGTAAATTGATGGGAATACAACTTTCCCATTAAAACCATTCTTTGATTCAAGCATCTGATTTCTAGTTCCTTATGTAGTATGTGTTAGTTAAGCTGATAATTCTACGGTGCTTTATTCATCGCTTTTTCTTTTTTTAGTTAAGCTCAAATCTCCGTCATGTGAGAGTATTTGAAATGGACATAGATGATGAGTGGGAGCTCGATGAGTCTTCAGATGAAGAGGAGGAGGCCGGTCATAAGCCTATGAAAATAAAGGAAGAAGTGTTGTCTGAGTCGGAGGCAGAGAACCAACAAGCGGGTGCTGCAGCTTTAACTCCAGAAATAGTTATTAAAGTGGAAAAACTTGACCCTGAGCTAGACTCGTAATCTCCCTTGCCATCACTGTATATGTTATCATGACAGAAGGACATAGAAGGTGGACTAAGATGTCTTGGACCACTTTTCGTTCCTTGTATAACAAATCAATAAATAGTAAATTTTATTTTTTCATATTTTGCTTCATCTTCTCTTAGTGATATAGTCACTGTGATAGAATTTCTTTTTGCTGAGATTTCTTTGTAACACTGTGTGCAAAACTATTTGTAGTTAAAGAAAACATAAATTGAGTGTGAAGGAAAAGTTCAGTCTTTTCTGTCAAAAAGTAGGTGTCAGACATTGTTTCTATTTCAAAAAGAAATAACATTTAAATAGCATTCATCACTGAAAATTTTGATGCGCTTCGCATTTAAAAACTGTAGGTGAAGCCGGGCTCGGTGGCTTAGCCTGTAATCCCACGCCTTTGGGAGGCTGAGGTGAGTGGATTGCCTGAACCCGTGGGCTTGAGACCCGCCTGGGCAACTTGGTGAGACCTCATCTCTACAATAAATCAAAAAATAAGCTGGGCGTGGTAGCTACCTGTAGTTCCAGCTACTTGGAAGGCTGAGGCGGAAGGATCACCGGAGCCCAGCAGGTCAAGGCTGCGGTGGCCAGGAGCAGCCATTGCAGTCCAGTCTGGGCAACAGAGTGAGATTCCAACTCAAAAAAACAAAAAAAAACGTAGGTGTTAATTTCTATTTTTCCATCTGGTTCATTTTAGGTCTCCAGAATGCTTTGAAAATTATGTTTTTGAAATAAATTATACTGACTTACTATAATGCTAAGCCAAAGGATGGATCCTGTCATTTATGATTTAAATAGCAAAAACGTTGCCTGACCCTTACATGATTGTTTTTTCTCATTTTGTTTTTGCATTTGAGCTTTGAATTCTTTGAATCAGCAGTGTTCAGATGTATCTTTCCTCATGTTTAGACTCCTTGGGATCATAAGAAATACGGATTGACTAAATATAGTCTAGCGTTAGTGCAGATAGGCGCCTGTTGATTTCTTGATGATCATTTCTAGAGTTGATAGTATTCTCATGTGACTTTCAAAGAGTTCCCATTTTAATATGAATTCTACCGTCAGTTCACTGAAAAATGGATCACTTTTTAAAGCTTTTAGTGTCTTTGGGCAGGAAGATTAACCAGGCAAGTTGGGTGCAGGGTTGCTGTTTCAGTTGTCTGTTTCTATAATAGGTAACGGTTTCACTTGGATTTCAGATACTCTATTTAGATACTCCAGCATACCTCCTCTGGTCTCAACTTAATGGGTTTGAAGGGCCGACCTAGTGGAAGCCACTGTAGTGTGCATGAGTGTAGCGTTTAGGACCGTGGTCATCAGGAGGCCAACGCTGCTGCTTTGTGGGCCTTACGCTCAGTACATTTGCATAAATATTTATTGACAGTTGGCCACTATTCATGCGATAGTGCAGAATGTCTTGAAGTAGCTTTTGTGAGCAAGAAATGAATTTTTAGATGATATTACAGACCAATGAGAGGTTGTGGATATATAGAGCATTTTTAGAATGAAGGCAATGCCCAGATTTACCACATAGCATTTAAAGAGCTTTCATAGATTTTAGGACAAATAATTACCGCTTATTCTTTGAATGAATTACAATTTTACAATCATCAACTTGTTATTTGTTAATAATCTATCCCACATGATTTCAACATTAGATTTTATAAAGATTTTTTTTATTTGGACACATTTGCTTTCTGTGGTTCCAGCATAGGCATAAATTGAAAGTGAGATTCCCAGACTCTTCCTTTGTCTCAAACAAGGGATCAGTAATACTTAATATGGATGTACTTAGCCATTCCTTAATAGTGAGTTAGATTTATAATGTGACTAATTCCTGGGAGAACCGTGTTTTCCTTAATACTTTTAATGTATATATCAAATATTTAGGAACTGGAAGTGGAGTATATCAAAGTAAAAAGCTTAAATTGATATCTGAATCTCTTATGTTTTAATGAATGTACAGAGCCAATAATTTTGTTATTGTACTTAGATATATGCTATAATTTTTTCACACCATTAGACATTTTGCTTTTCATATTTAGAAACCAGTTTGGTTATTCTAGACTGTGGGTTATGTTCAGTACGTCTAGCTGAATTTGAGTTTTGACTGTAGTGAATGGCAAGTGCAGTGTGGGTACGTGGAGGACACTGGGAGGAGGAGCATGTGGAACACAAGGCTGGTCTTTGTATGGTGGGTAGTTGAGTGCCTCTTGCAGGGTGTGAGGACCAAGTGAGGGTGCTTGTAAAGAGCCATGGTTGGCACAGAGGAGACACCTGATAAACACAAGCGCTTCTGTTCACATTATTTCTGCTCTGCATTTTAAGAGATCAATTGTGTAGATTTTTTTTTTTTTGGGAACTGGAACTAGCTTCTTTTTTTTTTTTTTTTTTTGCCCGACTTAGTAGAACTGTGACAATAGATTTTCTATCTGGTTTTGTAGGAGTTTTTTTGTTGTATTCTTGATTTTTTTTTTCCAAAATAAAAATTCTGTACTTTACAAATCACTAAAACATTCTATATTCATAATTCACAGCATTTGAATATAAATGTAAAGAAAACTATTTTGGAGTAACCTTGAATTTAACATAACTCTCTCTCTCTCTGTGTGTGTGTGTGTGTGTGTGTGTGTGTGTGTGTGTGTGTGTGTGTGTATCTAAGTATTTTCACATTCGTGAGGGAAGTCCAGCAAGCAAATGTGCTAAATATTTATTTCTAGAGAATGCTATTATTGAAACCATGGGTCACATGATTTCACCAAAAGCAAATCAGTTTCTTTGACACCTCTTGAAGTCTGATGATTGTAAACTGTTTATATTAACAAGAATCTACACTTGACTGTCCAACTTATCATTTTTAGTTCTCACTGAGCACAGGAAGATAGTACTTAGGATTATACTAAGTCAAGGTCACAAAAACCTTACAATGTAAGAGCAAGGAATATATTAGCACAGAAACGATCTCTTACCAGGACTATCCGATTCAGAAACTCAATCATTTAATAATAGGTCTAGGAAATGAATTGTTAACATGGTAGATAGTGTTTCTTGTTCTGAGCAAACGAGAACTTCTAGGACAGGACTTGCATGAAGCACACACTGTCACATCAGAATTGTCAGGGCCAGGGATTAAAAACGCAGATCTACAGATGCCCCCCAGGCCATGCAATCAGTATCTGAGGCCGGACTCAGGAATGCATTTTTAACCAACTCACCTGATCATTCTGGTACCCACTAAGGTTGAGAGCCCTGTCTCGATGAAGGCTGTGTTTTAGAAATCAGAGAGTTATCATTCTTTAGTTGTAAGTTCAGAAGCTGTTCCCTTAGATGCACTGACAATCGATGGGTTTTTTTGGTTGTTGTTCCTTTAAAAAATGGCCCTTAGTTCTGCATGGAGGATAAGGTAAAAAAAAAAAAAGATATATTTAAAGAATGACCCTAAAGGGTGATTAATTACACTTGCAAGAAACTCACACTCCTGTAAGTCTGTGTAAATAATGGTGCGTGTAATTGTACCCCAGTCATACTGCAGCATGTCAAAGTGAATCCCTTAGGGGCTGCATTTCAGCCCTAGCAAGATCATGTTCAACCAAGTGGTCGATGCTGAGAAGGTAAGGGAGGGCCTTTCTGGTAATAAGCCCTTACAGTTCATAAATGTCACCTTTCCTCTGGTGTGTGCAGTCAGACTGAACTCACTGCCCCAAGACACGAGGTGTAACATGTAGTTATTGCTGTACGGATGATATATCTGTCCCACGACATGACTGTAAATAAAACTTACGTTTAACAGCTTGTTATGTTTTAAACATTAAAATGAGACCAGTCTGTTGCTCAGGCCACTTGCCGTCACATTTACAACTGAAAACTTGAGGGACATTTTCTTCATGTCTGCATTCCTGATTCCTGCCAGAGTGAATGTTATCATTGTTTTAGGTGCTATTTCCCTCCACCATTCAGGTAGTGAAGCTGGATTCTTAGGAGCCTTAGCTGGAAGAGCGGCCAGTTGCTATAAACTGTACTCAACACTCAGCATCTTTGGGTGCTGTGAAACTTCTACCCTTGATAACGCGTTAATTCCCTTGCACCTTTCCACCACTTACTTTGTCTTGCCAAATCATTGCAGGCAGAGGTGTGAAGGATGAAAACATATGGTGTGGTTCTTGTTCTTGGGATACAAAAGTCGAGATCTGGTGGTAGAATGTGGGCAGCCAAAGGGCAATGACCATCCTGGGGCCCTGCGAGGTGTGGGGCCCACTTTCTCAGCTGGAGAAGGAGCAGCCGTCAGAGGATCCTGAATGATCTGGGTGGCAGGAGGCACAGGTGCCTGGCTCAGCAGATGCCCATCAGGCTGGAGTCGTCAGGCGTGTCAAATGCAGCTGAGAAGGGGCGTGGCAGAGACTTGGCCGTGATCTCAAAAACTGCAAGTCAGCAGTGACCCCAACAGAAACTTGGAATAGTGTTGGCAGCAGGAGCCCTGTTGGGATGAGAGTAGAGTGAGTTAAGACCCTGGAGGCTTCTCTTTGGGGGGTTCTCTGGGAGGGCAAAGAGATTGAGTGGTGGCGGGAGGGGTTGAGGTGTCAGGGAACTGGTGTTCAAATGGTGGATGGTGTTGCTTCCCTACCTTGGGGAGAGGAATCTCCTCTTTCTGTCTCTCTCTCTCTCCCTCAAACTTACTTTCTAAGTAAACTATATTTTCTAATCTAAGAAAAAAAGTGGTGGATGATATTAAGGCATATTTATCCAACAACAGGAGCGAATCCACTAAAGGGGGAGCAATGCACCATTGTGGAGTAGAAGGGAGAATGGGGGAAATTCTTGAGGCAGAAGAGGCCGAGACCCAGTGAGCAGCACGGCTTGGAGCATGACTTTCTCCATCCTCATGGGAGTGTGTTGGGCAGGGGCTGGCAGGTGCTGGACTTGGTGTGGGTCTGTTTTTGAGGTCTGGTGGAGAGTAAGGAGGAGGGAGGAGGGGTGAGATAGTTGTCTCAGAATGAGGAAGTGAATGTTCCCAGGAAGTGTTAGCTATGAGGAGCTGTTAGATATTGGTGGTATAAGTTTTCTTTGTTACCTTTCCAGCTTGTATGTATGTATGTATCTATCATCTATTTTTG